AGCTGTCTTCCAAGTGCGAAGATTTATACTGAATGCAGCCTAACACAGCTTGGCCCACTGTTCAAGCTGTTATTAATATGATTTTGGCATCACTTTTTAATTCTGACTTTGCCCTTAATGCTTCCCTCAATCTAATCCTCGACTTGCCTCATTAAAGGGGGTAAGGATTAGACCATGCTATTTTCTGGACCTCCTATCTTATTGAACATATTTGTATCATTGACAGGTACATCTTACCTTGAGCCCGGGAAATAAATGAAAGAAATGTGGTCCTTTCAGTTTGGTCTTGCCAGGTCTTATATTTGTATTATCAGTCTGGATGGCATGGATCTAGTCTCTCTTGTTGTTGGGTACTTTGTTTCAGCCCAGATTGGTTGTTTTCTATGGCGGTTCTGTCCTTTCAAGCCCGTTCTAGGTGGCATGCAACTAGCCACTAGGCAATCATGTATCATCTGCTTCATTGCAAAGCTCAGGTATCAGACACACCTGCATTTGAATCCTTGCCCTGTTATTTACAAATAGTATGATTTTTAGCTGAGTTTATCTCTAAGCCTCAGTTTCCTCATCAGTAAACTTAGTATGTAGTAGTACCTACTTCATCATATCATAAAATTCACCAAATAATCCTCCTAAAGCTTTCATGTATGGCAAACCCTCAATAGACATTGGATATTATTATTTTATCATTAGCTTTGAATTCGTTAATATATTATTTCTAATTACCTAGCTTGGCTTATTCACCATCAGTCAAGTCCTTATGCTGACACATTCTCATTTCTCTCTGTAGCCTGTGTTCTCTCTGTTTTTGTCTGTGTCCCCTTCATGTCAGCTTAAATGGATAAGTGTTTGGTGTTGCCATTTACATCTGTTTTGCTTAGGTACCTTCTTCCTAGGTACCTGAATTCAGCTTGCCACAATTCATACATCCATAGAATTATAGAATTTTGGAAGTGGGAGGAATCATTCTACCATGAAGAAAAACCCAGGATTGTGGACCTAGTCTGTGGGATAGCAAGGACTAGAAGCCAGAAGCCAGATTACTTGGTGTCTCATCTATTGTATTTTTGTTTTTGTTTTTGTTTTTTTGAGGCAGAGTCTTGCTGTGTCACCCAGGCTAGAGTGCAGTGGTGCAGTCTTAGCTCACTGCAACCTCCACCTCCCGGGTTCCAGCGATTCTCATGCCTCAGCCTCCAGAGTAGCTGGGACTACAGGTGCATGCCACCATGCCTGGCCAATTTTTGTATTTTTAGTAGAGGCAGGGTTTCACCATGTTGGCCAGGCTGATCTTGAGCTCCTGACCTCAGATGATCCTCCCACCTCAGCCTCCCAAAGTGCTGGGATTGCAGGCATGAGTCACCCTGCCCGGCCTCTAGTGTTCTTCTACCACATTGTTTTCTTCTCCAATTTCAGGTATACACAATTAAAATATATCCCACAGGAGGCTGGGGTGGGCAGGGAGGCACTTTTGTCTAAAAGCACCTTCCTCCATCACCTGTAGTCATGGCAGGGATCTTGAGACCCTGTGTTTTGGGTGTAGAGTAGTTTTCTGGTCCCCAGCATGTTAGGAATTACCAACCATTAGGTGGAGAATGTCCCATTGTTTTTCACTGAGCACATGCATTGAGGAACAACCTCCATGCTGGTACCCTCCTCCATACCAACCCTGCCTTTTTTCTCTTTTGTTAAACCTCAACTTTATGCATCTAGTTTCTTTATTGTTTTAACTTTCCATTAAAATTAGAAACACCCAGAAAAGTAGAAAAGATTAGTATAATGAACAACATATATCCATCAACTAGATTCAACTGTTACTACCATTTTGCCATATTTACTTAAATTATAATTTATAAAATATTTAAAAATATAATGTATGTTTTATACATAATTTTTTGCTGAATTATTTCAAAGCAAATTATAGGCACCATAGCATGTTACTTAGACACTTCAGCATATATCTAAAAAAAAAGATAACTTTCCTAGAAAGCCACAAGTCTACACCTAACAGTATGAATAATTTCGGAACACCATCTATTACTCACTCCAAATTTATTTCCCACTGTTGTCTTCAAAGTATTTTTATAGCTCTTTTGTTCACACCAGAATCCAATCAAGAATCACACGATTAGTTTATTTAAGTCTCTTTTAATTTAGAATAGTCCCCTGACTCCCTCACTTTTACCTTTTTTTTTTTTTTTTAAAATGATAGGGTCTCACTGTGTTGCCCAGGCTGGAGTGCAGTGGTGTGATCATAGCTCAGTGTAGCCTCAACCTCTTGGGCTCAAGCGATCTTCTCACCTTAGCCTCCTGAGTAGCTAGTATTACACCTGTACACCATCACACCCAGCTAATTATTATTATTAGTAGTAGTAGTAGTAGTAGCAGTAGTAGAGAGGGGGTCTCACTTTGTTGCCCAGGCTGGTCTTGAACTTCTGGCCTCAAGTGATCCTTCTGCCTCAGCCTCCCAAAGTGTTGGGATTACAGGCATGAGCCACTGCACCTGGCCCACTCCTTTCTTTTTAATGGCATTGACACTTTTGAAGAGATTAAGGCCAGTTCTTCTACCAGAGTTTCCCACATCCTGGGTTTGTTTGATTCTTTCTTCCAAGTGTCATTTTACTTATTACTTTCTCACCTGATTTCCAGTAGGCTGGAAATCAGACTGGAAGGCTTGATTAGATTCCAGTTGAATGGTTTAGGCAGGAAGTTTTCCTGGGTGGTGTCGTGTGTTTCAAGTGGCAGCACATTACATCCCACTGTTAATGCTGCTAAGTTTGATCACTGAGTTAGGATAATGATAGATATCTCCATTGTTAAGGAATGTTTTTCTCCCCTGCAAGTAGCATGTAATATATGGGTTGATTCTTTGGCACTGTGAGAATGCCCAGTTGCCCACCAGTCAGTCTTGTACCTAATGGCTTTAGCATTCATTGATCATCAGCTTTCTTTCTTATACATAAAATAGACTTTGCATTTTTTTATGTCCATTTCAGCCTGAGAGAACTACGTTTATTCACAGGAGTTCAGTTCTAAGCTTGGGTGATCCATTACCTTCCATGACCTTAAATCTACTGTGGAGAAACTCATTTCTCTGAGGGATTAGTTGTCAGACCCAGGGTTGAGGCAGGAGGAAAAAACTGGCAGAGTTGGAACTGTGCGTGGAGGACAGATTGCAGGAGTAGATGCCAGCCCTGCGGCGTATGCACATACCGTATTACTGTCAGTCTTTTCACTCACCAAGCATATAAAGAACAACTTTCTTGGATCTTCTCTAAGATTGCTGGAGAAAGAAAGGGAAGTTTGCTTTTAGTCAGTAATCTAAGATTGAATGTGGGAGCTACATTGCTTCTAGAAGCTGGAAGATGGATATGTGCGAAGTTTGCAATTGATCTTGCTTAACTAAATATCTTTCTGTTGGAATGTATGCGTGTATTTAGACTGGCTTTTTGAAACAGGTTGCAGTTTGGACTTAGAACTCTTGGCCTGATTCATATTTTGGGGTTAGGGTGGAGTTTCTCCAGGACTTCTGAGAGTGTGTGAGAAGTTTCTAAACTCAGAAGGCTCCTTTTTTGGCACTGCAGCATCTTTTCTGTTTTGGCATCTTAAGAATCTGGGGGAACCATATAAAGATCAGAAACAAGTCTGGCCCTAAAGACTCCCTCTGACATGGTAATTCCAGTTATTGAATCCTAGCCCATTCGGATGAGACCATATAAAGAGGCCATTTCCTGAAATTCCCGCTCTCTGCCTCTCACAGGCTCCTTTTTGTAGAAAGCTGGTATTTCAGGACTGCAACTGCCAGTCACGTGCTTCCAACTCTTTACTCGCAGTCATTCCTGCCCCCTGTTTATTTTTGGAGAGAACACATTTTTGCTGCTTTTCAGGAGCTATGCAGGGTCCTGCCCCCTCCGTCCATCAGGCGGCAGCCCCAGCAGGCCGTGCTCATTTCCCACACTCGGAGACGTGACTCCAGCTTTTAAGAGAGAACACGAGAGATACACTGCCTAAGGACTACCGTCACTCGATCCTATTTCTGTCCCTCTTGGTGTTACATATTTTAAGACTCTTTCTTTTTTTAAAGCAAGTTTAGGGAATGTTACCTGGCAGTAAGTCAGCCAAAACTGGAAATCATTTTTCCAGCTGTTGTCTTGGGGCTGTGCCTCTGAATTTCAGGAGAGTAATTTAAAGAATAAACCAGGACTTTTGAATTCTAGGATCAGGCCTTCTCTTCTTTCTGGCTTTTAAGTTTGTTTAGCTCGAATCCCTCTCTTCCCTGTAGTTTTGTCCTCTCCTCCTTAACACAGGAATAGAAAATAGATTCTTCCAAAATGCCAACTCAAACAGATGTCTTCCCAAGTGCTTAATCAAGGAGGACTCTTGAGTTGATGGACTCTAGGAAAAAAATGCCACGACCGTCTTAGCCTGCCTGAAGATTAAGTTTTTAGCGTCAATGATGGAGCAGGAGTAAATTCTTTTTCCTGTAAATGAGTAGGCCATTAGGTAGAGAACTCAGACTGACAACATTTGAAGAACAAAATAAATCGTGCGTTTGTGTCTTCCTCTGCTCTGTGGGAAGGACCCATGGTCCAAATGGAAAGATCTGTGAATAAAGGGCTTTAACTTCTCATCAGTCTAGGCAGGCACTGGAGCTCTGACAGTTGAGCTGGCGAGGACATTCACACCCCCGTAGGTTCCCCAGCATCTGATCTGTCACCTCCGGGAAGGGAAGGCCAGCAGTCCTGGCAGCTGGTCATAAAAGGAGCAACAGCAGTGGCTGGCCTAGGTGTGTGTCCTGTGTTTCAGATTGCCCTGGGGAGACAGCCGTGGGCTTTTTTTGAAATGAGGATAAGTAGGTGTCTAGGTGTCATGATACCTCTTAGGGAGAGCAGCCAAATATTCAGGGACTGGACTGTATATGCAAAAGAAACTGACTAGACCTTTAAAATCACATTGCTGGGGAAAGGAGCAGCACCAAATCCAAGATTGCGACCAGCAGAAGGCTGATGAAGGAGCTTGAAGAAATCCACAAATGTGGAATGAGAAACTTCGTAACATCCAGGTTTGAGGAAGCTAATTTCTTGACTTGGCAAGGGCTAATTTTTCCTGACAACCCTCCATGTGATAAAGTGGCCTTCAGAATGGAAATCAGATTTCCAGCAGAGTACCTGTTTAAACCACTGAAGACCACAGTTAAAACAAAGATCTATCACCTAAACAATGACAAAAAGGAGCGAGTCTGTTTGCCAGTAATTAGTGCTGGCAACTGGAAGCCAGCAACCAAAACTGACCAAGTAATCCAGGCTGTCATAGCACTCGTGAACAACCCCCAGCCCGAGCACCCATTTCAGGCTGACCTAGCTGAAGAGTACTCTAAGGACTGTAAAAAATTCTTTAAGAATGCTGAAAAGTTTACAAAGAAATATGAGGAAAAGCGACCCATGTACTAAAATCTGCTGCAGTTGATTCCAGCAAGTATGAGCAGAGACCCCAAGCAGTGCATTCAGGACTCTGTGGAAAACTGACACATGCTACCGCCTGGCATTCGCTTGTGGCACTTACTAATTTTCCATAGTTTTCTTAATCCAGAGTAGTCTAGGAAACCTATAAAGAAAGGATTAAAAATTTAAGATGTTCTAAAAAAAATCATATTGCTACAAGCCGGTTGTCTGCTTACATTTCAGATTGTTTGTACTTAATTCAAACTGCCACATTATGATCAAGTTGCATCAGCTTCCACTCTACATTCATTGTAGAGTAATGAATGCTGAGGGGCTCAGACTCCCAAAAACATTTCCTGGGGACGCTTACAATGTGATGGGCAAGTAACAACATTTTGCTACAGGAGAGTTATGTACCATCCCCAGTATCACTACACCCTTGGATCTGGTTGCTTCTGGAATGCTTTTTTCTTTACATTTCCAATCCAGGACAAGCCCCACTTTGCCCATAAAGTTTCCTTGACCTCTCCTTCTCCTCAGCACTCCCCGAGTCTGTACAATTCTGTTTAGCTTTTAGACATGTATTGTAAGCTTTATACATGCTTATCAGAGCAGCCTTAATAATGCCCCAATAAAAACCACCAAGATGGCAAGAAAACTGCAAATTTTGGTGTAACTGCCCCATGGCTGAGGGATTCCTCCTCAGCTTCATCTTTGGATCCTGGATGCAGCCTCTTCCTGGAACAATTCTGTGTCTCCATCACGGACGCCTAATTCTCACTTCCACTCACTTCCATTGTGGCCTCTTGGGTTTCAGATTAAGCCTGACATCCAATTATGTGGATTTTGTACAGGCCTGATACACTGAACTCTGCATCTTCTTGGTCTCATGGAACATTTGGGACAGGGATGATATCTTCTACTTTTTCTATTGCACCCAGTGCACATGGGACCAGTGCCGAGTTCCCCACATGGGTAACAAGGTTGATTTCTGGGGAAGAGCGTATAACTTGGTAATAGTTGTTAATTAAGTCCATCTCATCCAGACAGGGTATTTGTGTGTGCCCATAATAAGACTCATACTAGGGGGTGTTTACAAAAACATTTCTATTCCTTGGACTCGGAGAACGAAATCATGTGTGTAAGGACTTCCCATCAGGAGATAGGCATCTCCCTCTAAATGCCCAAGCCTACTTTGCAGAGAGCTAAGGCTACCTGTCCCTCCTCCTCTCCCCTCTGCTTCAGTGCTCTCTCCTGAGGTTGACCAGTGGGAAGCAAGCCAACTACCGTAGTCCTGACTCATTTTGCTCAGAGGATTTCTTTGCAATTTTTATTTTTCCGAGTGATCTCAATGTTTGGGTGGAGGAAATGAAAAGTAGCTTATACAGTTTTTATAATATTATATCAACTCCTAATGGCTTCAGTTATTAGTGAAAAAAATCCTTTGATTTTAGAAGTAGGTGTTAAACTGTATTGGCTTTGGAGGATTGACTTTTAGCTGGTGATCTCTTTGTTTTGAAGCTGCTGGTACCATTTTATAGTGGGAAGAAAATGAGAGGAAATGTGGCTTTGTGTTACCTCTAGGCAGAAGGGATTTTCACCCAATAGCCATGGCTTCCTTGGGTTTGTGGTTAAACAAGATAAAGATGATCATTTTGGTTTTTAGACTCTTAGGGAGCACTGTTAACCGTTTGATATCCATTAGTAAAGTGACAACTCAGGCCAGGCTCAAAGGAGCCATTTTAACTGGGGTAAGATGATATCTCAGTGTGGTTTTGGATTTGCATCTCTCTGATGATCAGTGATGTAGAACATTTTTTCATATACTTGGCCATTTGTGTGTCATCTTTTGAGATTCTTTTCAGATCCTTTGCCTGCTTTTTAATGGGGCTTTTTTTTTTTTGCTATTGAATTATTTGAGTTTCTTGCATATTCTGGATACTAGTTTCTTGTTGGATAGTTTGTAGGTATCTTCTCCTATAGTTTATTTTTTCACTGTGTTGATTGTTTCCTTTCCGGTGCAGAAGGTTTTAGTAGATTTTATAGTGCCAGGTCTTACATTTAAGTCTTTAATCCATTTTGATTTGATTTTTTATATGGTGAGAGATGGGGAAGGTCTAGTTTCATTCTTCTGCATATGGAAATCTGGTTTTGCCCGCACCACTTATTGAGGAGACTGTTCTTTCCCTAATATGTTCTTGGTGTCTTTTTAAAAAATCATTTGGCTAGAAATACATGGATTTATTCCTTGGTTCTCTATTCCCTTCCACTGATCTATTTGTTTTTATACCAATATTATGATGTTTTGGTTATTACAGCTTTGTAGTATTAGATATTTTGAAGTCAAATAGTGTGATGCCTCCATCTTTGTCCTTTTTTGCCCAATGTTGCATTGGCTATTCAGGCCCTTTTGTGGTCTCATACAAATTTTAGGGTTATTTTTTCTGTTTCTGTGAAGAATGTCATGGATATTTTGACAGAATTGTATTGAACCTATAGATTCCTTTGGGTAGTACAGTCATTCTAACAATATTAATTCTTCTGATCCATGAGCATGAGATGTCTATTTGTTTATGTCCTCTTCAATTTCTTTCATTAGTGTTTTGTAATTTTCACTGTAGAAGTCTTTCACCTTCTTGGACAAATGTAATCCTAAGTATTTTTTTGTAGCTATTATAAATGGGATTGCTTTCCTGATTTATTTTTCAGCTAGTTTGTTATTGGTGTGTAGAAACACTACTGATTTTTGTATGTTGATTTCATATTCTGCAACTTTACTGAATTCACTTACTTATTCTAAGAATTTTTTGATGGAATCTTTAGGTTTTTGTATATATAAGATCATATCATCTGCAAAGAGGGACAGTTTCACTTCCTGTCTTCCAATTTGGATGACTTTTATTTGTTTCTCTTGCCTGATTACTCTGGCTAGAACTTCTAGGGCTATGTTAAATAAAAGTGGTGAAAGTGGATATCCTTGTCTTGTTCCAGTTCTTAGAGGAAAAATGTTCAGCTTTTCTCCATTAAGTATTATGTTAGCTGTGGGTTTGTCATATGTGGCCTTTATTAAGTTGAGGCCTGATTTGTTCCTTCTATGCCTGATTTGCTGAGAATTTTTATTATGAAGGGATGTTCAATCATATCAAATGCTTTTTCTGCATCTATTGAGTTGATAATATGATTTTTATCCCTCATTCTATTGGTATGATATATCAGATTTATTGATTTGCTTATGTTGAACCATGCTTGCATCCCTGGGATAAATCCCACTTGATCATGGTGTATTATCTTTTTGATGTGTTGTTGGATTCAGTTTGCTCGTATTTTGTTGGGGATTTTTGCATCCTATGTTCATCAGGGATGTTGGCCTATAGTTGTTGCTGTTGTGGTGGTTGTGTCCTTATCTGGTTTTGGTGTCAGAGTAATAGTGGCTTTGTAGAAGAGTTAGGAAGAATTTCCTCCCATTCAATTTTTGGGAATAGATTGAGAAAAATTGGTGTTATTTCTTTGTAAGTTTGGTATAATTCAGTAGTAAAGCTATCTAGTCTTGGGCTTTTCTTTGTTGGGAAGCTTTTTATTACTGATTCAATCTCATTACTTGTTAGTGGTCTGTTCGGGTTTTCTATTTCTTCCTGGTTCAATTTTGGTAGGTTGTACGTGTCCAGGAATTTATCCATTTCCCATAGGTTTTCCAATGTATTAGCATATACTTGTTCATAGTAGTCTCTTATAATCCTTTGTATTTCTGTGGTATCAGTTGTAATGTCTCTTTTCTCATTTCTGATTTTATTTATTTGAGTCTTCTCTCTTTCTTGGTTGGTCTAGCTCACAGTTTGCTAATTTTGTTTATCTTTTCAAAAAGCCATCTTTTGTTTCATTGATCCTTTGTATTTTTTTAAGTCTCTATTTTGTTTAGTTCTATTCTGATCTTTATTATTTCTTTCCTTCTAGTGATTTGGGGTTTGACTGGTTCCTGCATTTCTAGTTCCCTGAGGTGTGTTGTTAGCTTGTTCATTCAGAATCTTTCCTTTTTTTTGGATGTAGGTTTTCATTGCTATACTTCCCTGTTGGCTGTGCTTTTGCTGTATCCCATAGGTTTTGGTATGTTGTGTTTCTGTTTTCATTTGTTTCAAGAAATTTTTAAATTTTCTTCTTAATTTCTTCATTGATCCAATGGTTGTTCAGGAGCATGATGTTTAATTTCTGTGTATTTGTACAGTTTCCATAATTCCTCTTATTATTGATTTCTAGTTTTATTCCATTGTCATCTGAAAGATACTTGATATGATTTTGGTTTTTAAAAATTTCTTGACATTTGTTTTGTGGCCTAACATATGGTCTGTCCTGGAGAATGTTCCATGTGCTGATGAGAAGAATGTGTGTTTTGCGGCTATTGGATGAAATGTTTAGTAAATGTCTGTTAATTTCATTTGGTTTAAAGTGCAGTTTAAATTCCCAGTTTTCTTTATTGGTTTTCTGTCTAGATGATCTGTCCAGTGCTGGGAGAGTTAGATGTTGAAGTCACCAACTATTACTATATTGGAGTCTATTTAGATCTAATAATATTTGCTTTTCATTATCTGGAGGCTCTAGTGTTGGGTGCGTATATATTTAGAATTGTTATATTGATCACCTTATCATTATAGAATGACCTTCTTTATAGTTTTTGACTTAAAATCTGTGTTATCTCATGTAACTCGTGTAAGTGTAGCTTCTCCTGCTTGCTTTTGGTTTTTATTTGCAGGAATTTTTTTTCCATCCCTTCACTTTTAGTCTATGTGTGTCTTTATAAGTGAAGTAAGTTTCTTATAAACAGCAAATATTGATGCTTTTTAATTCATTCAGCCAGTTTAGTGAGGAGTTTAATCCATTTTATTTCTGCCATTTTATTAATTGTTTTCTGGTTGTTTTATATATCCTTTGTTCCTTAACTTCCTTTCTTAATTTTTATCATTGCAGTTTGATGGTTTTCTGAAGTGGTAATGTTTGAATTCTCTCTCTTTCCCATTTGTGTATCTGTTCTACTAGTGAGTTTTATACTCTCTTGTGTTTTCATGATGGTATATAGTATTCTTTCACTTCTAGATATGTAGGACTACCTTAATAATTTATTGAAGGACTAGTCAGTGGTGATTAATTCCCTTGTTTTTGCTTATCTGGGAAGGACTTTATTTCTCCTTCATTTTTGAATAATAGCGTTGCTGGGCATAGTAATCATAGCTGACATTTTTTTTCTTTTCAGCACTTTGAATATATCATCACAATCTCTCCTGTCCCATAAGGTTTCTGCTGGGAATTCCCTTATGTGCAACTTGACACTTTCCTCCTGCCTTTGTTTGAATTTTATTTTTGTCTTTGACTTGACATTTTGATTATAATGTGCCTTGGAGAAGATCTTTCTGAGGTGAATCTATTTTAAGACCTTTGAGCTTCCTGTATTTGAATATCTATATCCCTTTCAAGACTTGGGAAGTTTTCAGCTATTATTGCATTAATAGATTTTCAATACCTTTGCCCATCTCTTCTCCTGAGACTTCAAAAATTTTAATACTTGTTTTCTTTATGGTATTGCATATGTCAAGTAGACTTTCTTTATTCTTTTTTCTTTTTTGTCTAACTGAGTTATTTCATAAGACCTGTCCTCAAGTTCTGAAATTCTTTTTCTCTTGCCTGGTCTAGTTTATTGTTGAAGCTCTTGATTGTATTTTTTCTTGCTTTCATTGACTTCAGTTCCAGGATTTCTGTTTGGTTCTTTTTTATGATGGCTATCTCTTTATTGACTTTCCCATTCAGATCATGAATCATTTTTCTGATTTCTTTGTACCTTTTTTTTTTTTTGAGATGGAGTCTCACCCTGTTGCCAGGCTGGAGTGCAGTGGTGTGATCTCAGCTCACTGCAACCTCCGACTTCCTGGTTCAAGCGATTCTCCTGCCTCAGCCTCCCGAGTAGCTAGGATTACAGACATGTGCCACCACGCCCAGCTAATTTCTGTATTTTTAGGGGAGACGGGGTTTCACCATGTTGGCCCGGGTGGTCTCTATCTCCTGACCTTGTGATCCACCTGTTTCGGCCTCCCAAAATGCTGAGATTATAGGCGTGAGCCACCGCAACTGGCCGCCTTTGTACTCTTTTATCTGTGTTCTCTCATATCTCACTGAGTTTCTTTAATATCATTGTTTTGAATTCTTTTTCATCCATTTCATGTATTTTCTTTTCATTGGAATCTGTTACTGGAGAATTATTGTGTTCCTTTAAAGGTGTCATGTTTCCTTACTTTTTCATGTTTCTTGTGTTCTTACATTGATATCTGTGTATCTGGTGTAATAGTTGCATCTTCCAGTCTTATGGATTGACTTCCATAGGAAAAGACTTTTTCCTATAGATGTATCTATAGTGTTGGTTAGGTGGGGTGCTTTGGCTTTGATTCTGGGTGGGTGAGGTCATGTAGTTTTTATATATCTTCAGCTGTAATCAGCATCAGTGGGTATCAGTGGGTTCTTTAGTGGCTTACGCTATAGCTGTTATTAGAGGCTGTGACAAGGCTTTGCTGCAAATGGGGATACCAAGTGGGCTTGTACTTAGGCACTGGTGGTGGGGGTGGAAAGCCAAGTATGCTAGTCCCTGGGGCCCCCAGGTGGTGTGCATGGGCTCTGGTGATGGTGGATCTGGGCAGGTCAGTCCTTAGGCCTCCAGTGCCTTGCTCAGGTGCCAGGGGTGGCAGTGGTGGGCCAGGTAAGCCAGTCCCCAGGTCCCCAGGTAGTGCATATGGGTGGGTGGTGACTGCAAGCTGGGTAGACTGGTCATCAGGCTTTTGGGAGACATACGTGGACACTGGTGGCAGGCAGGGTAGGCCTATTCCCAGGCCCCCAGACCATGCGTGGGTGGCAGATAGGGCAGAACAGTCCTTTGGACCCCAGAAAATGTGCACCAGTGGTGATGGGCAGGCTGGATCCATCCTAGGCCCCTGGGTCGTGTGTGTGCTGGCAGTGGTGGCAGTGAGTGGGGTCAGCCTATCCTCAGGCCCCTAGATGGCATACATAGGTGCTAGTTGTTGGTGGGGGCAAGTCAATCCCCAAGTCTCTTAGACACTGTACTCAGTCACTGGCAGCAGTGGCAGGGGTTGGAGTCGGCCTCTTGAGTAGATTTTTAATCCACCCACCAATTTAGTTTATGTCTTCTAAGCAAGTCTCACTCTTACATCTTTATTTTATTACTTTTTGGTTTATAAAAGCAGAAGAAAAAAGGAAAATTAAAATTGCCTATAATGGAGTCCCCTGTCAGTCATGTACATATAACTCATTAACACTAGATAGTATATGTTGATAATCATTTAAAAAAATGCATCAAAAGCATATACTTACTGTTTGATAACATGTTTTTGAAAATTAAAATGTATCGAACTTTCTTATATCATTGGGTTTTTTTTTAATAACATGACTTTTTGTTACTTGCATAGTATTTTCATGTGTATTTTACCATTTACTTAATTCCTTATTGCTAGCAATTTTGGTTGTTTCTAGCTATTCACTACTCAAAAATAACATTATATTCCTCTCTGATTTTTTCCTTGGGATCAATTTCTGGGATTAGAATTGCTAGGTTAAAAAGTGTGAGCATTTTTCCATCAGTGACAGACTGGATTAAGAAAATGTGGCACATATACACCATGAAATAATATGCAACCATAAAAAAGGATGAGTTCATGTCCTTTGTGGGGACATGGATGCAGCTGGAAAACACCATTCTCAGCAAACTATCGCAAGAACAGAAAACCAAATACTGCATGTTCTCACTCATAGGTGGGAATTGAACAATGAGAACACTTGGACACTTAAAGTATAATAAAGTACAGAACTTAAAGTATAATAAAATAAATAAATAAATATTTCCATGATAAAAAAAAAAGTATGAGCATTTTTAAGGCTTTTAATAAACATCACCAAATAGCCCTCCAGAAACATGGTACCAATTTATAACTCACCAGGAGGGTATGAAGGAACCCAGATTTTCATAGTAAGTTAGAAAGATCACTGTATTTTTATTCAGAAGGTAGGCCGAATATTGGTTGGTATAGGTGAGCTTACCCTCAGCCATTGTGGTGCTTAAACACAAATGTTGGTCGGGCACAGTGGGTCACGCCTGTAATCCCAGCACTTTGGGAGGCCCAGGCGGTTGGATCACTTGAGGTCAGGAGTTTGAGACCAGCCTGGCCAACATGGTGAAACCCTGTGTCTACTAAAAATACAAAAATTAGCTCTGTGTGGTGGTGCACGCCTATAATCCCAGCTACTCGGGAGGCTGAGACAGCAGAGTTGCTTGAACCCAGGAGGCGGAGGTTCCAGTGAGCTGAGGTCACGCCACTGCACTGCAGCCTGGGTGACAGAGCGAGATTTCATCTCAAAAAATAGAAAATAAAAAATAAAATAAAATAAACGCAAATGTTGAGTGAATGTGTTTTTTGACTTCTCTTTCCTTGTAGACTTCCTCTCCTAAATTACCTCGCTGCCGAGAGGGAGGCTGGGCAGGTGATTTCGTGAAGGTTTCGAAGTGAGTACTAGCAGCTCATAAGAGTGGGGGTGGGGGTGGACACGGCTGGGGGGACTTTGCTCCTGTGTTGTTTTATTTTTTACAATAGCTTTATTGAGAAAAAATTTACATACCATACAATTCACCCACTTAAAATGTACAATTTAATCGTTCTTAATATATTCACAGAGTTGTGCAACCATTGCCACAATCAATTTTACAACATTTTTATCACCTCCCCACCAAAAGAAACCCTGTATCTATTAGCAGCACTTCCCATGTGCCCCCAACCTCCCTAGATCTAGGTGGTTACCAGTCAACTTTCTCTCTCTCTGATTTGCATATTCTGGACATTTCTTGTAAGTAGAATCTATATTATGTGGTCCTTTATGGCTGGCTTCTCTTACTTGTCATAATGTCTTCAAAGTTTATTCGTGTTGTAACATTCTGTATTCTTAATTTTCTAAACATAATGGAATTGCCTGTTGTAACTGCTGATGAACTCTGCAGTATGTCCTCCCCTGACATATATCAGTCATCATTCATAAAGGGAAACAATACAGATGTCCCATCACCCTGCCTAGTTGGTATCTTGTGTTTACTGTAAGCTGGCATGAATATTGATTCCATAACCATAACTAACATTATCTCATCAGCCTCTCCAGAGCTCCTGGAAAGGCTGGGAAACCTGATGTCACAGTGCATGTGGCAGCACTTTATAAACTGCATAGGGCTCACAGTGTGGGACTGTAGATGCAGATGCCATTCTCTCTGAGCTGGATGATGTTGAGCAAGATGTTTACCATGGCTGAGCCCCTGGATGGACACACTGATGTTCCCTACAGGGCGATTCAAAGACTAAAGGAAATTACATATGTAACAGGAATGTTGCTGTTGTGTTTAGCCCTCCCAGCCTTTCCACAGCTTAGACCAGAAGCTGATCCCTGTGGTTCCATATTGAGAGGCGGCAGAGTGTGGTGAGAGCCGCAGGTACTGGAGCCAGCTGCCTAGCTTTGAATCCTAACTATCTCATTTATTATCTAAGAGACCCCAAGCCAGTAATTTAACATCTCTGGTCTCCATTTCTGCATCTCTACAATGGGGTTAAAAATAGTTCTTACTTGAAAGGATCATTGTGAGGATTAAATGAATTCATATGTGTAAAATATTTAGAAGAGAGAGAAGCATTTAGGAAGCACTTGTAGATGTTGGCTATTATGATGATGATGATGACTGTTTCTTATCCCCATTCTGTCCTCATAGATAGGCTTCGACCATATTCTTCTCACAGACATTCTGGCAGGTGGTGATGTTTATGAGTTGCAGGAGCTTTGGGATCTTTATGGTGCCATAAATGCTTCATATGAAGGGTCTGTTTGGGAGAAGTAATTGCAGATCAAGAAAAGCAATCGTTATTTTGAATATCAGGAATCTTCTTTAATTGTGAACGACATTAAAGCCTTAAGCATAGGAATGTCAGCTTTCCAAAGCTGTAGTATCAGAAGTATTTTCTAAACCTTATGTTGGTAAGAATTAGCCAGGGGTGTTCAAGAGAGAGAATACAGTCACAGATTCTTAGTTTCTGTTTCTGGTTGGGCCAGTAAAACCCCTTCTTCATTCCTCTTTTCCACTTACCACTAGAGACAGAAACTAAAACCATGGATTCAGGCTGCTAAAAGCCTAAAATAAAACAAAGCAGAACAACAACAAAATAAGGCAGGTTGGACAAGTTTGAATTAGACATAATCAATGAATGATATCCCCTTGGATTTCTGCCAGCATCTGGGAATGCACATGACCTAGAGTAGAAATCTCTGCAAGATCTTCATCCATCCAGGATGAGCATCCACATCTCAGGGATGGTTTCAGAATTACCTTGTTTCAAATAAGGAGAAAGTATTCCTCAAACTTCTTCCTACCACATACTCTCTCGCATTTCTTCCATGCTCAAACTGGCAGAATTTTCATGCTAAGGTGTGGTAATTATGTCATCTCTTGTTTTACTCGTAGGAAGCAACATCACAGTCAGGTTAAAACCATGGGTATCTGATTCAGACATACCAGGGTTTGAATTCAGGTTTCAGCATTTAACTGGCTGTGTAAACTTGGAGAAGTTACTTAACCCTGTAAAGTAGCAATAATAACACCTATTGCCAAGAATTGTTCTGAGTCTTGAACACACAGGAAGAGTACTCAGCATAAAGCTAGTACCTAGCTTGTTGCTGCAATTAAGTTATGAATAACAACAGTGCATAAGGAGTAAAGTAATAAGGCAGGTCTCTCTACGTTTTATGGTTCTAAAACATAAAAGTGTTAGGTAACATGTGCTCTGTAAATGGCATCTATAGTAGGATGGTGCTGGCTGTCACCTTCAGCCACATTTGTTAGTCTCTGTAGCTGTCAGCACCTTCCAGATGCTTTAAACAGGCTTTGATTACAGTTAGTCTTTGTGATTCTTGAAGTTTGATTCATTGCTTACATATAGTTAATCTAGGCCAGCCTGACAGAGAATGTGATAGTAAGACCAAGACATTTTGCTAGCCTTTACCTTTGGTCGCATTTTATGGACGAAGTAAGTGGAGTCATAGATGCCTGTAAGTCAGAAGGAGCAAGTGCTTAATGTCTTTTAGTTCAGTTCAGAGTCCAGTTCTAAAGACTGGATTACAAATCATTTCATTACTTAATCTCTTGCACTAAGTCTTAGATGAATGATAAAAATATATATATACCAGTGGGATGGCCAGTTATCGAATTTAACTACTTAAGATATACATGGGAATAGTTTCTCAAAGAATAGTCATTATTCTAGTTTAGAATTTACTTGAGCAGTTGTTGCCTTCAAAATGGCACTATCTTGAAAGAGCTCTATGAGAACTACAAACCACTGTTCAAAGAAGTCAGAGATGATGCAAACAAATGGAGAAACAGTCCATGCTTATGGACAGGAAGACTCAATATTGTTAAAATGACCATACTGGCAAAAGCAATTTATAGATTCAATGCTATTTCTATTAAACTACCATTGACATTCTTCACAGAACTTTTCTAGAAAGAACTATTTTAAAATTTATATGGAACAGAAAAGGGCCCAAATAGCCAAGGCAATCCTAAGCAAACAAAAGCAAAAACACCTGGAGGCATCACACTACACAACTTCAAACTATACTACAGGGCTACAGTAACCAAAACAGCATGGTACTGTACAAAAAGAGACACATAGACCAATAGAACAGAATAGAGAACTCAGAAATAAGACCGCATACCTGCAACTATCTTCAACAAACCTGACAAAAAAAGCAATGGGGGAAGGATTCCTTACTCAATAAATGGTGTTGAGATAACTGGCTAGTCATATGCAGAAGATTGAAACTGGACCCTTTCTTTACACCATGTACAAAAATTAACTCAATATGCATAAAAGACTAAATGTAAAACCCAAAAATACAAAAACTCTGGAAGACAACCTAGGCAATACCATTCCGGACATAGGATCGGACAAAGATTTCATGATGAAGACACCAAAAGCAATCACAACAAAATCAAAAATTGACAAATGGCATCTAATTAAAGTAAAGCACTTCTGCACAGCAAAGGAAACTGTCAACAGAGTGAGCAGACAACCTAGAGAATGGGAGAAACTTTTGGAAACTATGCATCTGACAAAACTGTAATATCTAGCATCTATAAGGAACTTAAATTTACAAGAAAAAAAACAACCCCACTAAAGGATGAATAAACACTTTCTAAAAGAAAGACATACATGCAGGCAACAAGCTCAACATCACTGATCATTAGAGAAATGCAAATAAAAACCACAATGAGATACCATCTTACACCAGTCAGAATGGCAGTTATTAAAAAGTCAAAGAAATATGGCCAGGCACGGTGGCTCACGCCTGTAATCCCAGCACTTTGGGAGGCCAAGGTGAGCAAATCACCTGACGTCGGGAGTTTGAGACCAGCCTGACCAACAGGGAGAATCCCCCATCTCTACTAAAAATACAAAATTAGCTGGGCGTGGTGACTCATGCCTGTAATCCCAGCTACTCAGGAGGCTGAGGCAGAAGAATTGCTTGAACCTGGGAGGCAGAGGTTGCAGTGAGCCCAGATTGTGCCATTGCACTCCAGCCTGGGCAACAAGAGTGAAACTCAATAATAATAATAATAATAATAACAACAACAACAACAACAGATGCTGGTGAGGTTGCAGAGAAAAAGGAACGATTGGACAGTGTTGGCATGAGTGTAAATTAGTTCAGTCATTGTGGAAGACAGTGTGGTGATTCTTCAAAGACCTAGAGACAGAAATATCATTTGACCCAGCAATCCCATTACTGGGTATATACCCAAAATAATATATCATTTTATTATAAAGACATATGCATGTGTATGTTCATTGCAGCACTATTTGCAATAGCAAAGACATGGAATCAACCTTAATGCCCATCAATGGTAGACTGGATAAAGAAAATGTTGTACATATACATCATGGAATAGTATGTAGCCATAAAAAAGAACAAGATCATGTCCTTTGCAGGAACATGGATAGAGCTGCAGGCCACTATCCTTAGCAAACTAATGTAGGAACAGAAAACCAGACACTATATGTTCTCACTTGTAAGTGGAAGCTAAATGATGAGAACACTTGGACACAGAGAGGAGAACAACACACACTGGGGCCTATTGAAAGGTGGAGGGTGGGAAATTGGAAAGGATCAGGAAAAATAACTACTGGGTACTACGCTTAATGCCAGGGTGACGAAATAATTTGTACAACAAACCCCTGTGACACAAGTTTACCTATATAACAAACCTGCACATGTACCCCTGAACTTAAAAGTTAAATTTAAAAAAAAATCACTATTAAAAATATTTACTTCCATTTTTTGCCACCCTCTCCTCCCACTTTTTTCTCCCTCCCCATTCCCCAACATCCCCCAGTACACTCTTTTTCCTGAACCTGAAAATAAGTTGTAGATGTCATGACATTTCACCCCTAAATACTTTAGCATGCATCTCTC